CTAGCACCTTATGATACCTATTGCAAGGCAATAAGGCTTGCACACTAGACCTAAACTAAACCCCTATAGTCTTAGTCACATCCGAGCAATTCCCGAGACAGGTTTTAGTTGTGATAATTGCATAGCATAGTACATTCCATGTACTGGAGGCACATGGGCCTTTTTGCAGCCCACCTTAAACTCTTCCCCCCACTCTGCAAGTCGTAGGGTGGACAGCTACTCCCCACATCCCTTCCTTCTTCCTACTGGGAGACCCTGATTGGCGTATTTTCGTTATTCACTGAAAAGAAAAGGGAAAAAAACATTTAAATTCACAAAATAAAGTTAATTCTAGATACTTATCTGATATTATGTTTAAGGGGGATGCTAACCACTTCTCAGCCGAGACAGGGGAGGGGGGTAAAATCTAAGTTTATGTAATGGTGGATGACAAAAAAGAAAAAAAAAAACACAAAAAAAGAATTTAGGCAAGTCATTATGCATGGGATGTTCCAAGATTCTGCAACTAATTGTCCAACTCAAAGCAATCTGCCGGTTGTGTTTATATTAATACCATTGTGTTGATTGTTTGTAATACACTGTCCACTTGTAATATGTACATATGTTCCCGCTCACAGTTTTGACCGGCTAGACTCTCTTCCCCCTAGTGTTATTATTCAGCTACTGGTTCTGGATAAAGCCCACCTGGTCTTGGTGGATTATATATGGGACAATCCCCTTTATTTTGTTGGCTATTATTGATAAATAAGGTTTTGTATCACAATTGATAAGTGAGATTGTTCTATAGTTTGTGACCCTTGTGGTATCCTTATCTATTTTGTAAATCGGGACTATCATAGATTGTAGCATTTCTTTCGGAAAGAATTTATAACAACTTACTTCATTAAATAAGTCCACGAGGTAAGGCTGAATAATTTTAGATTTTGTTTTATAAAATAAATTTGAATATCTGTCTGAACCTGAAGTTTTAATAAGGTTTAGTCAGATGTAGTAAAAGGAACCACTAATAAGGATGTCTGATTACAATTTAAAGTTGGCAAATTAATTTCTTTCAAGAAATCGTTAATCTCTTTTCTATTATATAGAGATGAGTAATAGACATGGAAAGCCTTCCTTATATCTATAGCGCTTAAAGCAGCACCTCCTTCTGTGACTATTTTTTTAATTCTTGATTTAATATGAGATTTTTTTGAGTTGGTATGTGAGAAATTTATTTGCCCTATTACCAAACTGGTAGCATTTCTGTCTGAATTTTACAATGATTTTATTTGCTCGTTCTATCATGTATTGTTTAATATCAATGGAAAAAAAGGACAGAATAATCTATCCAAAATCGAGTGGAAAATACACAAATCAAATTGGGTTATAACTGGAATCAAAAACTCACAATAAAATCAACTGGTTAAATAAGCCCCCATTAATAATGAAAAGAAACAATGAAAAACTAGAAAAGCTACAATTTCTGGGGAAATTGTGTGAAGTGTTCTTGCCTCCACCAGTAGTCTACAACTGGAGTGGGCGGAGTAACTGTTATCATTTATATAACACATTCAATTGCAACGTTGTTGCACAGTTACATTAAACCATACATTTATAAAATCATTAGCAGGTGTCTATGACATCACTTGCTGCTGCAGCTTGACACAGGTCAGAGTATTTTGGTGGTTGCCATCTTCAAACGGTCGTATCTTAAAAACTATAACTCCTACAGTGAAGAGCTTTATATTGTGAGAATCACAAGACCCAGACCTACATTTTGCATAGTATGTCTCTGAAGTATTAAAAATGAAGGCACAGTCGCAGTTTAGAAATTTCACTTCAAATTTGAGCTTTGTAGAGTGAAGTTTCAATGAATGTCAATGGACGGCATAAGTTGTAAACAAATGATTTTATTGTGAAAACTATCAGGACTATGGCTTAGCCGTTGACATGATTAGTGGCAGCAGGGATAGCTGAACGTTTTGATATAAGATTTGTGTAGGTGGGCCTGAAAATGAGGGAGTGGCGGCAGTTTAGAAATCATGTCCTGATGTTTCAGCTTTTGGCAGCTCCCACTCTAGCTTTGCCATTCATTCCTATGGGACAAATTTCGCCACAAGAACGACGATATTCCGTGAACCATTCGGCGAAACGTTCCACAAAGTAATAGCAATCCGATCGGGAACAATCTGCACGTTTTGGTAAATTTTTGTCTATGTAGTGTAAAAACTGTGGGAGGAGATAGGGTGGCAAATTTTGCTATAATAATAATAACTAGAAAAGTTACAATTTCAGGAGAAATTGTGTGAAGTGTTCTTGCCTCCACCTGTAGTCTACAACTGGAGTGGGCGGAGTAACTGGTTATCATTTACATAGCACATTTAATTGCAACGTTGTTGCACAGTTACATTAAACCATACATTTATAAAAACATTAGCAGGTGTTCAAAAGGCCCTGTCTATGACATCACTTGCTGCTGCAGCTTGACACAGGTCAGAGTATTTTGGTGGTTGCCATCTTCAAACGGTCGTATCTTAAAAACTATAACTCCTACAGTGAAGAGCTTTATATTGTGAGAATCACAAGACCCAGACCTACATTTTGATGCATAGTATGTCTCTGAAGTATTAAAATTGAAGGCACAGTCGCAGTTTAGAAATTGCACTTCAAATTTGAGCTTTGCAGAGGGAAGTTTCAATGAATGTCAATGGACGGCGTTGGTTGCAAACAAATGGTCATATTGTGAAAACTATCAGGACTACGGCTTAGCCGTTGACATGTTTAGTGGCAGCAGGGATAGCTGAACGTTTTGATATAAGATTTGTGTAGGTGGGCCCGAAAATAAGGGAGTGGTGGCAGTTTAGAAATCATGTCCTGATTTTTCAGCTTTTGCCAGCTCCCACTCTAGCTTTGCTATTCATTCCTATGGGACAAATTTCGCCACAAGAACGACGATATTCCGCGAACCATTCGGCGAAACGTTCCACAAAGTAATAGCAATCCGATCGGGAACAATCTGCACGTTTTGGTAAATTTCTGTCTATGTAGTGTAAAAACTGTGGGAGGAGTTAGGGTGGCAAATTTGGCTATAATAAGAATAATAATATATATGTGAGATAACAATAAGTGGTCTTGCTATGCAAGAACACTTAATAAGGATAATTAATCCAAAAAAACAGAAGTGAAGTGAAGATTCCTTTAAGTAGGAAAAGCAAATATATAATGAAGTAATCAGTGCAAAAAATGGGAGGACAGAAAAATGTTTAATATCAAGACTAATTTTATTTGTAATTTTGAGATTTGGACTAATTTCATTAGCAACTTTTGGGTTTTGCAGTTCTATATATAATTCAGAAATATTTTTTGTCTGTTTCCATAATTTAAAATTTCCACCTTAATCAGATGACCCCTAGTGACGCATATGTAAGCGCACCAAGTATTTTTAGCATTAATTTCTTTATCCCAGTTTTCTGTAAATCAATTTTCTGTGTTTGCCCAGATTTCCTCATAATTTTAGAATTGTTAAAAAGAAAATGTTTCATTCTGCAATGTTTCCCTCTTGGATTATAACAATTGAGATTTGAGATAACTGGATCGTGATCGGACCACGACAATGAACCAATCTCACAATTTATACAATTCCTAACAGCCAAGTTTGTGGATAAAATCACACCCAGGCAAGAATATGATTGAAATCAACTAGAAAAATAAGTATTATCAAATCCGCTAGGTTTCAAAGTTCTCCATGTATCATATAGGTTGCATTTTGCCATTGGTTCCTGGAAGCCTCTTGCCAGTGCCCTAAAAGATGGATCCATCTTCCTACCTACTGGAACCTTTCTATCCATGTCAAAAACTTATATACAGTTAATGCCACCCATGAACAAAAAGGTTACCAGAATCAGATCACAAATTTTAGTCAAAATACTATTTATAACGAAGTGAACCTGCCTCTTATTGGGAGCATATATATTCAAAATTGAAAATGTCTTATTATTTAATTTACAAATCTGGAAGAAGTGTCTTCCCTCACTATCAGCCGTTTTAAATATCATTTTGTATTTCATGATATTTAGATCAATATTAGAACCCCTCCTCTCCCCTTTTTACTCATTGTTAAAGAAGAATGTACCAAGATGGGAAAGAACCTATTTCTTAAACGTGGTTTCCTGTAATCAGCAAACATCTATTTGACCCCTCTTCAGCTTATCGAGCAGAGCTAGTCCTTTCTGCAGGAAGTTAATGCCCTCTATATTAAGAGCTAAAAATGTCAAAGCACCCCCTTTCATGTAATATCTAAAGTGAAATCGTTAAATAGAGGGTCTCCATGCCAAATACCACAATGCAAACATGTAACAACAAATGGTGACTTTTCCTTAGGCTCTGGTTAGTCACCTTAATGGTGTGAATCATTCCCATCACAACCTAAACCCTAATTATTAAGTGTACTCAGACGTCTTACATTTTGGGTTCAGGCCTTAGCATTGATATTAATAAAACAAAATTAACCATCACTGTGATCTCCTTTTCTTACTATTTCCCCTTCTCTTTATTACTATTAGTATCTCTCAATTTTCTCCTTTCCCCCCCTTTATGTAAAAATTTATATAAGAATATTTGATTCTATCAAATTCCTCATTTGGTGCTTCAAAAAATACTGACTTACTTTCCATTCCCTTCATCTCTCTTTAACTTATTTATTTCCATCATGTGTGTTCATATAGGTATTAAGTGTACTTTAGACAAACAGTTTTATTGTGGCCATTTAGCGCTGATTTTTTTCTGTTTTTTCTATTAAGTGTACTTTGACTATTTAAATTGTGCTGTAATAATGTTATTAATAAAACAAATGAAAAAAGATTCCTCTCCCTTTCTCTTAATTAACATTAATTTATCTTTTTACTTCCCTTCCCAATCCCCCAATATCCCGCACTCCCACCTCCCACAACTGTCATGATCCTCTCGTGGTGCTTAATGTTTTTGTAGGCAACATTCGGATGAATTCTGGTCCATTCTCTAGCCTCGTCTACATCCTTGATGGTATGTGTAATATCGTTAAAGTGGACAAAAAATGTTAGCAGGAAAGCCCCAGTTATATTTTATATTTTTTTCTCTTAAAGAGATCTGTAAAAAAATTTAAACAATCTTCTTTTGGTCCTTGTTTCAGCAGATAAATAAATATGTTTTTAAACTTTCCTTCTGTTGTAATCAAAGATTTTGTTGCCAAAAATATTTTTTGCCTTTTATTGTAAGATGAAAAACGGACGATAGGTCTCTTGCTTGCTCCTCAGGAATATTTTTGGGTTGATACACCCTATGTGCTCTTTCAATGATGCTGGAGGTCTGAGCTGAATTCCTATTGCTGCCGATAAATCCATTAAGTAGGTTACCAATTGGCTCGAGACAATTTCTTCTGGAATCTCTAAGTTCTTCCTTTGTGTGTGGTCCTCAGAATCTGTGATTTTCAATTCCAGTGCCTCTATTTTACGTTTATATTTCTTCAGCTGTTCTCTGGATTCTTTGAGTTCCTTTGTGATATTTTCTATATTTGTTTCATTATTTTTCTCCCAGTCTTAATAAATCTTCCTTGAACTCTGTGAATCGTTCATTTAGTTCTTCCTTAATTTGTTTGAGTTGGTTATCTGAACCTCTTTGAAAATTTGACATTAGCTCCTCCTGCATTTGTATGAGCTGCAATTTTAAGAGCTTATAAAAGTTTTTGTAGGCAGGATTCACAGCTTGTAAATCTGGTTTACTTGAGATAATTAGGGAGGCATCTGCTTTATGAGCTAGTGGAGTGTTTAATTCCAAACTCATTGAAGTATCTGTTTTTTTTTTATTGATCTTATTTTGAGGAGAGAACTTCGATTCTCGAGATTTATCTTTCATGGAGCGACCATCTTGTTTCTTTCCTTTTTTGGGGGGGATTTGTTTAGCCTCATTGTTTTTTTTAAGACATTGTTCTCTCTATTTTCTTCTCTCCTTTTTATCATTTAATTTTCCTCTATTATTTCCCTACTCTCGTTGAGGAATTATAAAAATGTAATGTAAGCAAAGCAGCCAAAAGCAAAACGAAGGTTGGTATCTATTAACTCAAATTGCTATATAATTGATATGCATCTACTTTGAGAAAGCTTTGAACTCCGGTACATATACTCTCCCTTCAAAGGATGTACTTTAACAAGAGAGTCAGGGTGAGGTATTACCAGGGTTATTTGGACTTTAAAGGTCAACTGTAGATGATAAAGTCATGGGAACATACAGTTTATTAACTGCCATAGAAATCTAGGAAGCCCACAGTTTATTTGCCTTTTGAAACACAAAGAACTCCCAGTTTGCTAACTGCTACGTAAATTATGTAGAACTCTCAATAATTGTTTGCCTTGAATGTGTGAGAAGGGTTTCCAGCCATTGATCTCAATGCACACTGTGCCATCCAGCAGGAGCATCATTGGGTTAAACTCTGCTCACAGATCTCGCTAAGGAGGGTTGCCACGTGGCTGCAGGGGAGGGCACTCTCTCACCAAGTCTTTCCAAGAGCCCAAGAAGTCCGGCTGTCCACTCCCCTCTGTTTGCCTCTGTCTGCAGTCCCAGGATGTAAGGGGCTCACATCCTTTCATTGCAGCAGCTTTTGGACCAGTCAGCAACCCGCTTCACCGTGTCTCCATGTCTCCTCAATGGAACAGCAGCAGCGGTTCAGCAGCGGCGATGTAAGGGTTGGCCCCCGCTGATGCCATGACGCTCCTCCTCATCAGCATCTTATATCACGTCCTCCTCATTTTTAGATTTAAAACTATAATTTGCTAAATTAGTTTTTTTCCATGAACTAATCTATTAATTTAAATGCAACCAGTTCATTCAAGTGCGGATTAAAAGGGTGACGCTCCATGCAAAACAATTTGTTTCTAAATAAGCCGATTAGTTTATGGGGAAAAAATAAGTTTGCACAAGTCTTTTTAAACCCCAAATCCAACTGTTTTTCCATTTTGCCAAATTCATGCAACCACAGTCCACCCAGGACCAATCTTATTTGCAGTTAGAGGTAGTTAACTTGCTGGTGACGTGCTGGTTTTGTCATCGAAATTTTCATGACAGCATCAAGCTTAGCTTTATAACATTTATGGTCAGTTCAAAAAATGTAAAACTTCCACACATACACTTGTTATAAAACATATATAGAGGGAACTGGTTATCATCTTCAAAGACCATTCAAATGAATAACATTTCAAAGAACAGATCCAAATAAATTCAGAAATAACAGAGCAATTTATTATTTGTTTAATTATTTCTGTTTAGAAAAATATTTTTTGTTGTTTGTCATTATCGTTAAATTGAGAAATTTTATATACAGTGTATGGAGTGTGAAAATATTCCAAAGTATTAGAGGGAAATTCTATAACCCATTTTTTTCTTTGCAAAAAAACAACAAAAACACAGACAAAAAAAACTCACCTTATACCTGGCTCACAAAACAGTAAAGCTGCCTGTTTGTGTACTATTTCTATCCGGTTTCTTTACTGTACCTTAAGGTGTTCAGTGTGATTCATCGAGGAATCAAGATACCGAGAAAGCTGAAACCCCCTTGTTCCCTGTGAAAAATCTTTCTGCAAAATATGTTAAACAAGCAAGCAGGATTTCTGGGACATTCTGTTTTCTGAGAACTAATTCCTTTTTTTTCTACAAATAAAAAAAAATGACTTCCCTCATTCCTGCAAATAAGGAAATTAAGTTATATTTAATTAGTGTCCTTCCAGATTTTATCCTGCAAGAATTTCTCATAAAATAGTGTAATACCGAAGGGGCTTCTCTGGTCAATGGGTTGACCTATTCTGGTAGCAGTCTAACGCAGTGCAACGCCTGGGAGAAGGAACAAACCGGTTTGGTTCTAATATATTGGGGAAACCCCCGACTTTGGGCCAGTACAAAGACTAGAATATTTAAAGGACAACTTTCATCAAACTTTCACTTCTCATTTTTTAATGTATATTATATTTACTGAAACGTAATGATCTTTTATACATTATGTGTATTGATTTTTTTATTTCGCTTTTTATCAAACTGAGTTTTGCAGACGTTAATGTTATCTGACCAACTGCTGCTCAACCTAACTTTACTCCTATTGTGATTACCCCAGCAGGAGTAAAGTTAGGAGTAAAGTTACCCCTGTGAAATGTCAGCAGCAAACAAGGTCGGTTGAGCATCAATCGGTCAGATAACAGTAAGATCTGACCCAACATGGCTGCTTAGACAGAAAATAAAGTGAAATGAAAAAAAAATTCAATATAAATCATTGTTTAATTACAAAGTGCACTTTAAAACCACCAAGAAGTGAAAATTGGAGAATGGTGTCCTTTAAGGGAGAAACGTGCACAGTTACATCAGATTTGTAGATTGTATTCCAAAATAGGTTTCCAGCTGTGTAATAATTCCAATGACAAACTATTAGTATAAATATTTAATGTATTGTGTCAGAATATTTGTGGGGTGGTGGTTTTGCTATCAGGAGAGCCCAGGCCCTCCCACATGGTAACTAGAAAACAGTTTTAATACAATTTGAAAACTTGGCTAAATACGTTGGAACCAGGAGTAGAACCAGATGTGCAATCTGCTATGGATGCAGTACCGGAGCAGTCTGCGCAATCTGCAATGGACCCGAAATACTAGAGAACTGGAATCTGCATTAAAACTATCAGTGAAATCTGCATTAGAACCATGAGTGGAATCCGCATTAGAACTATTAGCGGAATCCGCATTAGAACTATGAGTGGAATCCCCATTAGAACTATTAGTGGAATCCCCATTAGAACTATGAGTGGAATCCGCATTAGAACTATGAGTGGAATCTGCATTAGAACTATGAGGGGAATCTGCATTAGAACTATTAGCAGAATCTGCATTAGAACTGTAACGGATCGCCTGGCACCCCGACTGGGTACCTCAGTTGAAGGATGCTCCTAGCGCTTCCTGAGGACTCCAAGCACTCTGGCAGACACCACAATAACCGAACCGGAGAAGCGTATACCTTCTCTCAAGCATTGAATGCTGTAGACAGTTGAATAGGAACCATACGAATAGGTTTACTCTCCTAGCAGTCAAACTGGAACAGCATACAATAAATCCTTCCCCCAATAATGAGACGACACTTCACTTTGAGGGTTAAAACAGGAACTCCAGTGCTGGCACACCCAGCCTGGTTTTTATTACAATCCACAAAACATAGTACTGCCCACCGGGTTTTGCAGAACCACCAATAAACACATTACAACACATAAAATGCAAGTACAGCAGCCAATCAGACACAATGGGAAAATAGAAACACACCCAGCATATTCCTCCCCTCTGCTTAGGAGATAATTGAGTCAATTACTGTATCTACTCAATTATCTCCAAGCTGAAAAGTTACTTTTTGTACATTTTTATAACTTTAGGAGTTAACATCGTACATACATAAAACTTACATTTTCATAATCAATCCATTCAGGGGAACA